AGGACTTTCTAAGGGAAACTGGCTCGTATACACGTTACACATGGGGAAAACCACGAAAACGGCCATGCAGCCATCCCGTTCGCGGGATTCGAACCTCGGACCGAACTACCAGTGTTCAGCGCGACTTTACCGCTCGGCCGCTGGTGGGTCAGCAGTATTTTGGAGGTTTAAAATATGCATTTTCAAAGCTGAAACTCAGGTAGAAGGATTTTCATGGAAGCAATAGGAAAAGCAACTAAAGTAAAAAAATATAAATATATAAGTATGCACAAAAATACACTTGTGTTCAGAATAAAAGGAATTTTCCAATTTATGTCGATTATCTCTAGAACTCATAGACAGATTGTAGTAAAATGTGATATGGGAGCTGGAAAATAGGGAATACAGAGAAATTTATGGCATACAGACATGATACACGTACACGTGATCGAGCGTAAGGCTCATCCGCGCTAAAACAAAGGTTGATTTGGTTTTCATTAACAATCATATAGTTATTGTGTCTTAATCATATAGTTCTTAGAGGTTGAGTTCAAACTCAGTTTATGAGTCCCTGTAGCAGTCGTTCTTACTTATATCGTAGAGCGGAGTTTCAAGTGGCGTAAAGAGTGTTGAAAGTTGCCTCCTAAAGATGTCCAAATGTGTTGTTTAGATCTGACATCTGGCTGATCAGTGCATTCGGTTTACATCCGCACTTTCGAAGAAAATCATAAAGTTTCATATGTGGACAAGTATAGCCTTTCATAAAAAATGTACTGAGGGCCAACTGCACACTGTAATTTTATTACGTTCTGAGAGGCGAAATGCTCATCCACACGTGGAGCTAATCCGTTGGTTTACTTTCTGGAAAATGAGGATATTAAATGACTAATATGGCCAGCCAATATCCGCACCTGAATCCTACAAAATTTGTCTGGGATGATTTTAAGAAGGGCATTTGTAATTCGCCTTTCCTTTTCCAGAACCCTACAGTACGTGAAAACAACATTGCTCGAATTTGAGTCGGACCGACTGCCACAGAGACTCATATGTATACATATCCAGTATGAAGTACGCTGTGTGGTAGTTATATAGAGAGCCTTTATCTTTGCTCGATCTTGCAATCGCTGTTTCACAACTTTATGCGGGGACGAGCCTTAGGCACGATTTACGCGCAAGTACCACGATTGCTGTACTGTATATTTTTTAGTATTATATCGAACAAACCCTACTAAATTAAAATTTGTCCATCAACTCTATAAATAATCGATTAAGTTGGAAAATTCTCTTAATTTTGAAGACCAGTGTAATTAAATTTTACCTCTTAGCATGTGTTTTGAAACTTAGACTTCTATTTATTGCGAAGATGAAAATTTATTAGTGTAAAGGAAGGTTAAACAGGTGTCATTAAATAATTTACAACGTTACTTTGAAAATCCCAAAATATATCAATTATTTATAAATTTAACTTCATCTATTTCTCTTGCCCGTTCTGCAAGTCGACAACGCCATTGCTCAGGTATTCGAACTTGCACTTTTATTCTATTATTTTTATTATATTTTCGTTTTTTGAAATATGTCTTAATCTCAAAATCCATTTACGTAGTCGGTTTCCCCAAGATATAAGACAATAGTTATAAATTAAGTCTCCTTTATACCCTCTCCTCCAACATGCAACCAAGTCATTACCTTAAGTAGCTATGATGCAACCAAGTCATTATCTTAAGTAGCTATGATGTGATGATTTCATTTAGCTAAACAAAATCTAGCTCTCTTTCTCGCAATATTGCTTGTTCGTGGGAATTCTTATTGTAGAGCGTTTAAACTGTCAAATGTTTCGTTGTTTTAACTGAAATGGTGCTACTTAGATCGGATTAAAAGTACCGTTGGCGTTGTAAATTAATGAAATTTATGTGCTTAATTTTTTATTTGGGTTGTAATTGTTAGCTGTATAGTATTAAAATAAGTTAATTATTTTCGTGGGGGTATTTAGTTGATTTTAGCAAAACATGTGAGGGCTATATGCTTAAGGTGGGTATGCTTTAGTGAAGGGCTTTCTAAAGAAACAATTCATGTTACAGACGGGAATTGTCCGTCCGTCGGAATTTGAGTCTGGGTCGAACTACCAGTGTTCAGTATTTTTACTGTTTGATCGCTTGTGGATAACAACGTATGTGTTATCATAATAGAGATTTACATCGTAAAGTGTGATCAGAGGTAAATCGTAAAGTGTAATCAGAGGTTAATTAAGTTAAGAAACTGGTACTTGCGTATTAATCCAACCACCTTTGGCGCATTTTGTCGATTTTTTACAGATGAAAAGGCAAAAGTTATTTATCTGGTGCAGGTTAGAGGATTACGTGACTTTTTTTAAACAGATTGTTAAACTACCGATAATTACTATAAGTTGGCAGACATTATAGACATATATGAAAAGGAAACAGATTTTAGTAATTTAAAATTTAACTTCATCACGTGATCACTAAATAAGCATTACGTGATACATTAAAAAACAAAACTGATTTTTCTCCACATCTTTTTATAATTCTTTTGTGCTATTCTTCTCCCCAAGTACACGCGACCTGTTTACACTTAAAATCTAGAGAACTGCAGAGATACGAAATCTCGCAAACTCCGGTAACATTGGCTATCTCTCAAATCTGTCTCCTTGTTGTTCCCATTAGAGATTTTGGATCGAAATTCTGTGTTCCTGAAGAAATTTTACCGCAGTTTACTCCACGCTAGTAAATTCCACTATTGCGTACTTCCACAAACCGTGGATCTTTTATTACGTGAACTTTTACTACATTACACTAGTACTGGAGGTACAGACGGGATGCGGTAATTCCTTATATTCTTCAATCTGCTGCCACATTTTAGACTGTGTGCCATTTTAGAGACATTAGGTTTTTCGTTTTTAGGAGCAGAAAACACAAAAAACATCGCCTGCCGAGATTCGAACCACGTATCTTCCATTGCTAGCTGGACGCGCTACCGCTACACTTCGAGAGCAAACCTGGGGAAATGAGATTATTCCTTATACATTTATTTTATGAAGGACTAAAAACCTCTTCTGATATAAAATCCAGTCTTAAGACTAAGACCGGATTTTATATCAGAAGTATTTTTTTCCACTTGATTGGCAATGACAATATGATATTTTTTCTTGCTTCCGAAGAAGTTATGCTAAGTTTCAGTAAAATATATAGAAGACAGTAAGAATCTTCTCAAATTTCTCATGAAAATACAAAATATATTCCATAAAACTTTCTTCAAAAATTAAAGGATTATTTTAAATTTCTTAACTGAGTTCTTTTTTTAAAAAATAAGACTTACGAAACTAAGCAAATGAATAAACTGAGCTTTTAATGAAAAAGAGGTACCGTGAAATCAATATATGCATAAGTTGAGTATTGTCAAATTCCAGATAAAGATGGTAATTAAGCAAAAGGATGGTGAATTCAGAAGTTTTGAAATTTAGGTAGTTACATAGCTGAAACTGAAAGGTTTGTAAACGTACGTGGCAAAAATTAGCTAATTTCCAGGAACGACATAGAAGGGCTATCTATCTGCCTTAAGGTTTCGTAAAAGACTTCTAAAGGAAACTGGTTATTACTTTTGAGAAAGAATGCAATCTTATCGTTTCTGAGGGAATCGAGCATGAAAATATGTTTGTATTCATTTTATTAATTCAATTCAATGCTGGTGAAAGGTAAGATGAGGTGATGGAATGTTCTCCAAAACTTATATACAATTTTAAGAAGATCGTGAAACTTTTACCTTACCTCTAGAAATTAAATCTAGACTTCGTTAGAATTATTTATATTTATGTAATTAGAAAGGATTTTGTAAGACATGATCTGCAATGTAGGAAAAAAATAATTAAGATGAGAATGTTTGAGTGTTTTGCAGACCTTCTCCATAAACCAGTAATAATTAAAAACTTTGTCATTTTCATTTCTATTTCTCAAAATGAAAAAAATAAACATTTCATTTTTGTTTCCTTTTCCATTATTGTAAAAATTTAGCCTGATATTGTTACTTTATTTTCGTTCTTCAGTTCTGTGAATGGTTCTGAGATTTTTCTCATTTGTAAGGTTTCTTTTTTTCTTTTATTCCCCTTTTTTAATATGTGTTTGTGTATGTGTGTGTGTGTGCACGCGCGCGTACGTGTGAATGTATCCCTCTTGAACAATTCTTTTTCACCTCTGCTTCAGATCTTGCTCAGTCACTCAAAACTCGATTAATCATTTACGCATGAAATGGTCAAAAGATACCACATGTGAAAGTACCTATTCTAAAAATTCAGCCTCAGCGCAAAGAGAAAGTATGTATAGGAGAATTAATTTCCGACCGCACAACCGACTTTGAAGACACTCTATCACGTCCACGTACTTTCTAAGTAATATAATGAAAATAAAATTATTAACTTTCGGTATTTTGTTAATTTTTTAAATTTTAGATTTTTTTTATTTTTGAAAAAGCAATTGTTATCGTCCTTGAAGTGAGTTACAGTCACTGGGTGCAGCATTATTGATCAAAGCACAGCAGTGCGTAAGAAGTAACCATGACAACGAAGACCTTAGCCTGACAGCCTATTTGACTCAAAAGCTCTCTGATTCTGGTCCAGTTAGAGAGGTCAGACCCCTAGATATACGACCATCAAATTATACTAAACTTATTACATTTCATTGCACATACCAACTCGAATACGCTTGGGCGGAAAAAAGCCACTCACGTATTGAACTGATCTGCAGCTCATATAATGTCATATGATATGCAACAAAATGTGCGAAACGATGTGTTTTACTGAACGTCCAAGCGATCATAAAAAAAACCTTGCGAAACGTATGGTGCACTAGACTAACGCACATCCTCCTAGCTAAGTCGCCTCCGAAATACTTGGGAAGTGGCGCGGAGCAGTTAAGATGCAGTGTGCTTAGGTGAAGAGTAGATATCAAACTTTTCCATATTTGAAAATGTATCGCCTAACTGGCGAATCTCTAGTTCGCCAAAAGGAGTAGTTTCCGTTTTCGCGCATGCGTCTTTAAGCACCCAATTTGGTGAGTTCATCGAATAAGCATTGAGTGCTGAATTCAAGATTACCATTCGGCTTGCGAGCAAACTTCAGACCGAAAGGAGATCTCAAATCGCAGAGTAATCGAAACAAAAACCACAGAGAGCGAACGTAACAGGTGAGTGATGGTGACTCTCGTTAAGTGCAAGCATCTCCTAACCATGTGCACAACTTAGTAAATTTATCAAAGACAGTATAGAATTTAACAAAAGTATTTTTGAAGTGGTAAAAAAAATTCTCCAGCCCTTATGTAGCTCGTCAGACTTTCAAGTTCTCAGTCTTTCTCTCGAAGTTATAAATTTTAGGACCCTTAAACATTTATTATTTATTATCTCAAATTCGTTTACGTTTTTCTAAAAGTCTCTCTTTTTTTGAAGTAAAAAAAACTTAATAGCGGGAAATATAAGTTTTAAAATAAAGAAGCATTCTTTAACATTATCTGTGCCATGAGCTGAAGCTCAGAAATAAGAAATCCGTTTTACTTAAAATTTAATAGTAAGATTAGCGCAACTCAATGACCTTTAAAAAACTGACTTGAAAAGATAAATTATGGCACTAATTTTAACAATGTACGTTTTTTATGGTTTTTTTTTAATTTAACGAAAGTAATGAAGTATAAAATTATAACGATATAAGTTTAAGCATTCAAAATGTTACAGAAATATTTATACTGATTACTCGAAGGAGCGCTTAATGCTTTAACGCATATAGCTATATGCTCCAAATTCTCAGTTTTCATCTTTCTGTTTTACATGTTTGCGTATAGATGTATATTGTTTAGCTTTTGCTTTTATTTCCTTTTCCATTACACATTATTTAAATTTAATTTTGATATTATATCATATTTATATTAACTATAATTTTGTAATATGAGTATAGATTTCCCTTAATTTGAACTTTTCCGACTTTTAAAAATCTTTATTCGAGCTCATTGTGATTACCTATTTTGTCAACATATGAGAAGCTTTTTAATTTTCTTACTTCAGCAGTTGTAGTTCTGGAACTAATAGCATACAATTCTCAAGTTGTGCAAACTTCAGATGTGCAAACGAAAACACTTCAATAGCTAATATTTTTACTGAGAATGATCATTTTCATGAAATGTCCATTTCTGTTGAATTTATTGATAATTTTGTGTTAAATAGTCAAGTATTGCACATTAAATATGTGTACGCGTAAGGTTGGATTAGCGAATCAAATCTTCTGTGGTGTTGTAGAACCGTGATTTATATCAACTAAACACTTCAGAAATTTCTGTTGTAACATTCAGTCTACAAAATCAGTTTCATATTATTATTATTATTATTATTATTATTTGGTATTTTCTAGTAGATCTGTTGCAACAAATATTTTTACTTATATATTTAAAATTAGGAACTCAGCCTATTTCTTACAGCGTTAAGCTGAAATTCTGTTAAATTTTATTTCATTTAATATTTTTTCTTGCTACGTTATCATAATTCATTATAAATATAGCACAATGCATACATATGTATATATATTATATTTTTAACGCTATGCAACTGATGGAAGTTTCCCATTTTTTAGAAATTTAAATGTTAACCAGCTTCATTATATCCATTTTATTCATATTCTTGAAATTTTGCTTTATAGTTTGTAAAATTAAAGAGTGAGTTTTATTAAATTCTTGAAGCCGCAGCATACTCTCTCGTCACCCTAATATGAATAATTCAAAATTTTAATAAAACAATCAAGCAAACAACTATAATGAAAATAGAAAGAATAGCTACCAATGGCAAAGAAAATCAAATACAGCAAGTAATGTTACAGTCAGCTGGTATGTATATGATCTAGTTAGTCATATTTTCTTCTAAGTTTAGAAAAGGTATGTACTTTCTCGAGTGCTATGGTTTCAAGAATTTTACTCAATATTAAATCCATTTCTTTATGAAACTTTAAACTGCTATATCACAAAGAAACTAAAAAGTGTTACTCATTGCACATCAAAAAATTCTCCTAAATTTCTATAACGCAAGGACGTTTTGGTGTGTTTGTATATATATATGTAACCGTGAAAGACCGAAATTGGGGAATGTCGACTTTCACCGGAGAATATCAACATTCACCAAATACGTCGATGAAAGACCGAATATTTCACTACATTCTTGTATATTCGGACCCTCACCGGTGTATGTCGACAATTACAGATATGCTCTGGTGAAAGTCGAAAAGAGAGGTCATAAAGTGCCATAATAGTTTAAGTTGTTGCAATAAATAAGATTTGAATCACATAATTTAGTAAGTTTTTTATTACTATTTATTATTTTATTTTCTCATTTAGAACGTACTGTATAATTAAGTAAGTTTTTAACTTATAAATATTATTTTCCTTTCTCATTTTGAATGTATTGTGTGTTTTAGGTTCTTATGTTCTTAAGTTCTTATATTTCAAGTCTCAAGTGCGTTCTATTCGCGACTGAATTAGAGAAGAAAATATAATATTGTTATATGTTCAACATTCACCATTAGTACATGGTGAATGTCGACATTGACCGGTGTAAGTCAGAAATAAGAGTATTTGGAAAATATTTCAGACATACACCAAGAGACTGTGTGAATGTTGACACTCACCGGTGAAAGTCGACATTCTCCAGATTTCGGTGTTTCACCGTAACATATATATATATTAAGCGATTAATACATGGAATCAGCTCAGTGAGATGAAATAATGTTAGAAGTGAATAGATCCTTAACTTTCATTCAATCCCATATAGATTGATGTTATTACTAGCCAATAAATATATTTAAAGCTTAAAAGCTCTTGGTTAATTTCTAATCTTTGAACTGAAATTCTATTTATCTAACTCCTGCCTTCAAACACATAGTCTATCAGGTACAAAAATGTAAACGAAAGAGCGCTGTGTGCGTCTTTGTTCCAAATCAGTGTGATTATACATCTTTAACCTGCCATACAAGATATAAACACAAAGAAAACACAAGGGGTGTAAAGAAAAAGTAAACAAGTTCTACTCCATATTAAATTTCCTCATCATCTTAGCTCACTTATATTATAAAAAAATGTCCATAGACTAATTTCTTCTGAAATACAAATCCACTGCCAATGCTTTCCAAATGCAGTTTGAGAAAACAGATTGTTTGTTGATAATAAGAGTTAATGAAGGAGCAGTAGTTCTTCAACATCTTATACTGTGGGTAAAAAAAGTATTTGCACACCTACATTTTTGTTTGCAATTCATAAAAAGAAGCATTGAGAAATAAAAAAATTGTATTGCCAAATCAGAATAAGTTTAATCATCCAAAACAAACAGAAAAATTACAATAATATAAATAACAATGCTTTTTTGTAACAAAATTAAAATATCTCGTATCAAAAAAGTATTTGCACACCTGCATGAATACAAAAGAAAAATATATAAGCAAATTTCAAACAACTAATATTTAGTATGCATTCCTTTAGCATCTATTACTGCTTGTAATTATGCTGGCATTGATTTAATTAAATTTTCTGTAACAGTAGGGTCAGTATTCGACCACTCTTCAATAAGGGCTTGTTTAAGGGTAGATTTGCTTGAAATCTTCCTTTTTACTTATTTTTAAATTCCAAAGAATTCCACAAATTGTCCAAAGGATTTAAGTCTGGTGATTGGGGTGGAGTGGCAAGTTTTCTGGTTACATTATAAAGCAACCACATACGTGTTATACCGGTCGGTGTGCTTGGGATTCGTTGTCTTGCTGAAAATAGTACGAATTACTGATACACAATTTTATTGCACTTTGTGGCAAGTTATCTCGCAACACATCAATATAGGTTCCAGCTGTCATATTCCCATCAATGAAACACAAATTACCAACTCCTTTGCTAGCCATGCACCCCCAAATCATAACAGAACCTCCTCCATGTTTAACTGTAGGTAACACATTTTTGGCATGAAAAGCAGTACAAGGTTTTCTCCAAACTAATTTCCTGCTATCTAATTTAAAGATATTGAACTTACTCTCGTCGGAGAATATGACATTTTTCCAGAAATCAATTGGCATATTGATATATTCCTTAGCGAATTCAAGTCTCTTCAGTCTATTTCGTTCAGTTATGAGAGGTTTTTTTCCTTGGAGATCTCCCATAAATGTGTGCATCGTGCAGGACATTTCGAACACTTTGGGCACAGATTTGAAATCCAGATGTTGAAGCGACATCATTGGCTAAAGTAATTGCACTAACAAATGGATTTTTCGATGCTTCTCTTATGCTTTTTCGCTTTATTCGCAGTGAAAGTTTCTTTGGGCGTCCAGAGCGCAAGTTATTTGATGTAGATCCTCTTTCTTTATGACGTTTTATAATATAACGAACAATAGAGAAGCAAACATTTACTTTTTTTACCTATTTCTCGATAATTTAGGCCATTTGCACGTAGAGAAACAATTTTTTCGAAATCGGCAGCTCAGATTTCTTAGGTGCCATTGCAATTTGAAATCGACAATCAACTGATAACGTTTCGACAACACCTCCTTTTATAGTCGTCTTACGTATGTTATTTACTGCGGGATGACTGTCAAATAATAGCATAAAAATGCAAATTTGCTAAAGTTGAGTTGAGTGTGCAAATACTTTTTTGACATAAGCTATTTAATATTGTTGCAAAAAATGTTTTTTTATTAATATTATTGTATTTTTTGTAATTAAATGAATAAGCTTATTATATTTTTTAAATGCCAATTTTTGTATTTCTTAATGCATTTTCTTATAAATTGTGAACAAAAATGTATGTGTGCAAATACTTTTTGTACCCACTGTATTTCATCGTGAAGTGTAAAATTTCTAATATACGCAGAAAATTAGAAGATACAAAATTTTCTTTGAATTTGCCTAAAATTCTCCTGAATTCCGTCTATAAACTTCTGATTTATTCGCTACTTTATCTACATGGAGAAAAATTCTTCTTCGTTCTTCGAAGGAGCTACATTCATTGCAATGATGGAATAAGCAATAAACAAACTTTACCACGATGGAATCCATAAAGCTATTGGAAGGTTCTGAGTCGAATTATTAAAACAATATTAATACTTCCTATTTAAATACGTTTATGGTTGTTAAAATTATATTCCCCGACTTCCTTTTTTTAGTAATTCTTATTTTTC